ATTTCTCAATTCTCGCCATGAGTTCTTCCATGCTTTTTGGCAAAGGTTTTGCCAAAGACTTCCGTAGTGGAAAATTGTCTTTCAGGCCGTTCTTGAATGACACGACCGCTACTTCTTGATTACATTCTGGTATTTGATTGAACACCTCATAGTACCTTTTCACCTAGGCCCTAAGGCCTTCGTCTTTGCTGATCTTCAGGGCCATCAATGCGTCCACCCTTAATGGCTGCAGTTTGTTTGTCATAAACCTGGCCACAAATATCTCGGCCAGGCCTTTCCAAGTCTTTACGCTTCCCTTCGGTAGTTTATGGAACCAGTCTGATGCAATTTCCCCAAAGGACGAGGGGAACACTTTGCAGAGCAACGGCTCGTTCCCATTATATAATGGCATCGAATTCAGGTATAGCCCGACGTGGAAGTTGGGATCTGATTTACCATTATATATTTGGAACCTCGGCATACTGAATCTCTTTGGTGCTTGAAATTTGTCCAGTTCCACCGAGAACGGTGTCTTCGACTTAACCGGGGAAGTTACCTCGGCTTCAGCATTCTGTTGCTTCCTCTTGAGGTAATCCCTCAAGTCTTCTTTACTCTTTCCTGGAGCTCGGCTATCTCTGGACTTCAATCTCTTCGGCACAATACTTTCGGCCTCGTGGTGGGCTCGTTTTGATCTCTCTCCATGTGTTGTGTCAAAGCAAAGCGCCTGCCCTTGAACATGCCGATGTTCTTTGGGTTCTAGGTCCTTCGTGTGATACGTTCTTTGGGACTCCTCTCGTCTCGGCTCCTCTCGTCCGCCTTCCCTGGAAGGTCGGTGAGAGTGCCTTCCGCTCTTGGTGTGCTGAGGGACTTCGGGGATTGTTCTTCTTCCTCTCTTCTGGGCGTTAGTTGCTAGCATCGGTGTATCCTACAACGGGTATGGTGGCTGCATGACATTATTTTGCATCATGAAGTTGACCACTGACTGTAGGTCTGCCAACTTGTTTGCCAAGTCTTTTACTTCCTCATCCCTCCGTAGGCACCTATCCCTCCATACCTGAAGGTTATCTTTGTTATAATATTTGCTTTGGTCTGTCCTCTTTGAAGCGTCGCCCTCCTGGCCGACGTTTTTCTCTCCGTGGCCTTGGTCATGAGATTCTGCATTGTGGTTGTCTCCTTTAACATCAAGGTCAATTGGTCTGCCATTCCCAGCAGGAGTGTCGCCCCCAATGTTTTCCTTCTGTCCGTTACTGGCCATCTATTCTTCTAAGATTCCCACAGACGGTGCCAAATTGTGTGGGTGATTTTCTGACCACACTGCCCGCCTAGTAATCAGCTGGAGAGCACCGGCAGAATAGATGGCTTCAGCAAACCTGTAACAGAAAGAAAAGGCTTCGGCGGTGGCTCTTCCACCCGGGGGCACTCCGACGATCAAGTCAGTATATCTCTCAAAGATAATCAAGGGCTAAACTCACTACTCAAAGTATAAAACTGCGTACCTTAGACCCACGGGGGTGCCTCTCTTTTATAGCCAACTCAATCCTAGTCCCACTAGAAGCCTGACTTCTATGGACTCCCATTCAGTGCTTACTTTGGATTTTATAAGAGATAAAGATAAACTTCCTAAGAGCTTTATCCTTATCTTAGCAAAGTTCCCTCTTTACTCTAGGACTCTTGCCCCTTATCCATTATCCGCTTATCTCGGATTCCGATATTTTCGGAGATAACCTCGGCCTCGCCGAGATAACCTCGACGTCACAACCAGGACACGTGGCCCATTCAGTGCTTACTTTGGATTTTATAAGAGATAAAGATAAACTCCCTAAGAGCTTTATCCTTATCTTAGCAAAGTTCCATCTTTACTCTAGGACTCTTGCCCCTTATCCATTATCCGCTTATCTCAGATTCCGATATCTTCGGAGATAACCTCGGCCTCGCCGAGACAACCTCGGCGTCACAACCAGGACACGTGGCACTTCGGCTGACACGTCGGCGTCACCTTGCCACGTGTTGGTATTCAGAAAATACATCTCCACAGTCCAATAATAGATTATTGAATTATTGATTTTTATTTATTATTAGAAAGCATGAAATTCTTTTAAAATTTCACCCAATTTATTTTTAATAAAATGAAAAGAAGAAAGAGGAGTAATCAGAGTGTTACTCTGACTAACTGTTAAATTTATTCACAATTAAATGACAAGAAATTGAGTATTTATTGGTTAATTTCTTAACAAATTAACAACTTGTATGGAAATTTAGGGTTTATTTGACAATAAACTAAGTTGGCATGATTGAAAAAAGACAAAAATTCAAATAGTCACTATTCTATTTAAGTCACATCATCTTATTTAAGTCACATCACCTCTCTAACACATCACTTCAAACCCAACCCAAACCAAACCCAACTCATATTTCATAAAAAGTCAAAAAGTGCAATTATTTAGTCTTCCCAAACTAGGTAGTCAAAAAATTTAGGAAAAAAAAAAGAAAACCAAAAACCCATAAGAAAAATTTAAAAGATTCCTAATTTAGGGTTATTTGACAATAAACTAATTTAGTCAAAAAAATTACTTAAAAAAAAAAAAACCAAAACAAAAACCCATAAAAAAAATTAAAAAAGATTCCTTTTTATTTTCTTTACTTTTTGATAAAAAAATAATTAATAAGTCATTCTTAAATATTTTAATTTATTTCACTTCAAATTTTAATTAAAAAATCAAAGGGAGATGGCATGGTATGGTAAAAAAGGTGTGTATTATAGACAAGTTATAATAATTAATTATATTTTTTTGATTAATAAAAAATTAGTTTCCAAATTAGGAAGTGTGTGGTTGAAAAAATATGAAACGAACTACATAGGACGATTAGTTAGTAGGAATGGCAACGGGCTGGGTTGGGGCCGAGGATCATACTCTCCGTCCCCGATCCCCGATGTTAAAAATGTCCCCGTCTCCGGCCTCGATCCGTGACGGGGAACCTATCACCATCTCCGCCACCGTCTCCTAACGGGGATCGGGTTTCCCCTAACCCGAAAATTTCCCGACCAAAACACAGACACAGATTATATCAACAACAAAGAAATCAGAATCAAAATCAAAGAAATCCTTGTTCCACAACCATCTGTTCGATCTATCCCTTACATTTGATGGAAAGTTCTCAAATAGAAAGCAGAATCAAAACAAATACTAAAGACTCCCAAAAAATGGTATGTTGAAAACTTCTCATGAGCAATCTTTTCAAAACATCACAAAATCCAAGTTACATCCAATGGGAGCCTTGAAGGCCTTTAATTCCACTAATAATCTCCAGAACTCCATTGAGAAAAAAACATATCAGACTGAAAAATAAATAGAAATAGGAAAATGAAAAGGAGAAAAACTTGATTTTTGCTCAGATCTGTCGGAAGGAGAGGCGACGGAGGAGGATGAGGAGGCGGCGATGGGGATCTGCTTAGATCTGCCGAAGGAGGAGATGACGAAGAAGGAGGAGGAGGCGGCGGGGATCTGCTTAGATCTGCCAGAGGAGGAGGCGACGGAGGAGGAGGATGAGGAGGAGGCCACGACGGTGAGGAGGAGGCGGCGGAGTAGGGAGCGACCGAGCGACGGAGTAGAGGCGATCGAACGACGTAGAGGAGGAGAGAGAGTGAGATGTTTGTGTGTTTCAGTGTCTCTAACCCCGAAATGAGAAAAGTAAGAGAGAAAACATATATATATACAGGGGCACCATAGTAATTTAATATCGGGGAATTGGTACGGGGACGGGGTCGGGGACGAGCCGGGTCCGGGACTGTAAAACATATCATTGTCCCCGGCCCGAAAATGGTCGGGGATTCATTTTTAAATACCATCCCCGACCCGTCGAGGATATTTTTTGAGGAAAAACTGTTCCAATTGGGGTCGGGGAGTCGGGTCCCCGTCGGGCCGATTTCAAATTGCCATCCCTATTAGTTAGTGGTGTTTTGAAAAGTTAGTAAAAAGTTAATTTTTTGACTTTTTAATTTTTTTAGTGATTTTTTTGACAAAAAATTGGATGAAGAGGAGAGAGAGTGAGATGTTTGTGTGTTTCAGTGTCTCTAACCCTGAAATGAGAAAAGTAAGAGAGAAAACATATATATATATATATATATATATAAAGGGGTACCATAGTAATTTAATATCGGGGAATTGGTACGGGGACGGGGTCGGGGACGAGCCGGGTCCGGGACTGTAAAACATATCATTGTCCCCGGCCCGAAAATGGTCGGGGATTCATTTTTAAATACCATCCCCGACCCGTCGAGGATATTTTTTGAGGAAAAACTGTTCCAATTGGGGTCGGGGAGTCGGGTCCCCGTCGGGCCGGTTTCAAATTGCCATCCCTATTAGTTAGTGGTGTTTTGAAAAGTTGGTAAAAAGTTAGTTTTTTGACTTTTTAATTTTTTTAGTGATTTTTTTGACAAAAAATTGGATTGTTTTAAGTAAAAAAACTGTTTTTTTTGGCTAAAAAATTGACTTTTTTAACCTCTTCCCAAACTGCCCCATAATAAAAAAATTAGTTTTTAAAATATTCTTTTAACACATATCTTAATATACATTTTAACAGGTTTATTGTACTACTACTCACTTTTTAAAATTAATAAACTTTTAACATATTTTAACACATATTTTTAAATTCTCTTTTTATCATTTTTTATCGTATAAAATATATTAACACGTTTTTTTAATTATTAGTGAAGTTTTCAAATCAAGGGTTGTTTTGAATGATCTAAATAAGTGTATTTTTTGACTTTTTATGAAATATGAGTTGGGTATAAATTGAGTTCAAAGTGTTGTGATAGAGCAATAATGTGACTTAAATAAGAAGGTATGACAATAATAAATTTTTGACTTTTTAAAGTCAACCGTATCGCTGGCGAACACATATAAAATTTATAGCCGACGGCCGGCTAACTCGAAGGTGTATACTTGTCCGGTGCGGAATGGGGCGTTTCATACAAGTGGGTAGGGATTTTTATTCGGATCTGCGCGGACTCCAAACGCTTTATAAATTTAGCAAATAATACGTGTCTATATATATAGTACATTCAACACCCATCCTCAACCGCTGTAGTATCATATCACAGTAGTTTGTAGTTGGGTGAAATTCGAATCGAAAGAAAGAAATAAGCGAATCGAAGAGATCAGAATCAGACATGGCTCCGATAGCAGTGGGAGACGTGATTGCCGATGGAAAGCTGGCCTATTTCGACGAGAACGATGAGCTCCAACACCTCTCCGTACACTCCATCGCCGCCGGCAAGAAGGTCATTCTCTTTGCCGTCCCCGGTGCCTTCACTCCTACTTGCAGGTCTACTCCTATCCTCTCTCTCTCTCTCTCTCCATTTTCTTCTTTCTTTATTTTATTTTATTTATTTTATTCCTCCGTTTGGTTCCCGAGAAAACGGGGGAAAGAAAATTTTAACGTTTTGTGTTGGTGTTTGATTGCCGAGATTTTGAAGGAAGTACTAAATATATTTTGATTTTAAAAAGAAATGAATGGATGTAATAAGTGAAGAATACATTTTGATACAACCGAATGTGCTATATTGAGATTGATATGGGGATTGATGATCCTTGGCAGCGATTAAAACTAGTATAAACGATGGATTTCAAATCTCAACTATTTCATCTTAATTATTCAAGAATAATAGTATTTTGAAATCAGGTTATGAATTCTCTTTGTTGTTATAAAGAACATACGAATATATATATATCTTCTATATTTAACTTGTGAAATTCTATAATACATTGAAAAAGGAGTGTACCATATGACTTTGTGACATTTGGTTATGATTTATTATGGTGTTACGACTTTTTATGACTCTTAGTTATATAAGCTCGTGTGGTTGTTACAAAGGGTTTTTTTGGTTATGACACATCGTGATATTGTGATATTGGTTATGACTTATGACCAAAGAGTATTTGGTTATGGCTCGAACGGGTTTGGTTATGATCCATTATGCTATTATGACAGAAAATGATTTGGTTATGATGGTACACAAGGTATGTGTATTGTAACATAATTTATTAACTTGTCTGCTTTTATTACATTTTATCAATTTGACCTCAAATCCCTTCCTTGTTCACACATATCCAAGCAACCCTTAATTTTATATTAAATCATGTATAAAAATTAAACAAAAACCACTAGAAACCATTTAGATGGAATATGTTTTTTAAACAAAATAATGCTCTAATATATCAAGGATTTAAGGTCGTTTTGGCTTGCTCCTCAGAATTGAATGGACCGATATTGTTTTGGGCAGTTTTGTGCCTTTAAAGGGACAAAGGTCACAAAGCCATTGTCAATCGTGAAGATTTTCAGTTAAACAGAAGTCATGACCTGAATTTGGTTGTACTGGATTAATGTGATTGTTTAATTGAAATTTTCTTCATGAAATGATTGCTGCTTTGATTAGGTGGCATATTGTTTATGTATGTCTGGTGATTAATTTTACCCGTTTTGGTAAAATATTTAACTAAATAAGAATACGCGTAATAGAATATGGTCGTGTCAGGTTGTCTTCTTTATGTCGTTAAAGTCCTTATATCACACACATTCTTCTTCATTAGCTTGACTGTGCTTATAGTTTTGGTTAAATTATGCATTGTTAGACTGTTAGGCTATATAAGTTCAGCCTTTGATTTTTTGGTTTGATGTCCTTGTATTTCTGCCTGTAAACATAAGTTTCATTCTATTGTTTCTCATCTCACTGTTTTGGTTGATTTACATAATGTAATTAAGCCAGGTCTGGAATTCTGAGTTTTTTTATGTTTCGTTTGGATGGCAGCATGAAGCATGTCCCAGGTTTCATTGAGAAAGCAGAGGAGCTGAAGGCAAAGGGTGTTGATGAAATCTTGTGTATTAGTGGTACTTTTAAACTTCAGCCTTTTGTATCTTTGTTTTGTTGTTAGCACATAATTTCACAATCTTTGCAAGTTAGAAGTTGTACACGATTAATTACCTTCTATATATAAAATCATCTCTTCACTCAAGAAACTGATGGATTAATATTTTCTCTGAGAAAATGCTACATACCAGATGTCATTGGGATACTAGCGATTAATTTATATACAATGCAAGTTAGGTCTACATGTAAACGACGTAGCAGGATCCTTGATGGCTAAGAAGTATGGATTCGAACATGAGACATGGATACAACGCAAAACGGATATATGCCAACATAGCAATTTTTACAGAAATTAAGATGCTCATCAATTTACTTGATCTCAAATTCTACAACTGAATGTAATTGCTGTGCTCAATTGAATTTGCAGTGAATGACCCATTTGTGATGAAGGCATGGGCTAAGACATTCCCCGAGAACAAGCATGTGAAGTTCCTTGCAGACGGTGCAGCAACCTATACCCATGCTCTCGGTCTTGAGCTTGACCTTGCAGAGAAAGGACTTGGAACTCGCTCTCGTAGGTTTGCTTTGTTGGTTGATGATCTCAAGGTGAAGGTTGCAAACATTGAATCAGGTGGAGAGTTCACTGTATCCGGTGCTGATGAGATTCTCAAGGCTCTCTAATTGCCCTGTCAACTCTTCTCTTCTCTTCTCTATGATTTCCATTGTGAGTTCTGATATGATGGCCTGGGTACTCGTTCTGTTGCTGCTGATGTTTTTTATTTTTATTTTTCAAGCAGTATGAAGTTTGTTAAGTGGAGTTTTTTACAAGTCTTTGTTGCACTTATTTTTGTGGAGTTTAAGTGGAGTTTGCTAATGTCATATGAGCTTTTTACAAGTCTTTGTTGCACTTATTTCTGTGCATTATATGCAAGCATTTTAAGTTTCTTAACAACTCCTCTAATTGCACTCGTTAATAAATAAATAAATAAATAAAAATCTATTTGTTGCTGTATGGGAAGGAAATATTCGTCGCGTCTAAGCTCCACGCTACTCCGAACAACGTCGTTCAACCTGAGAACGGTGAGTTGCTCGGCAAGTGTGATGTCGGAAAATCTCTCTGACGATCAAGTTAGCATCCTTTTAGAGAGAGAGAAATGCGACAAAAGAGAGATAGAGTCTTGTGTGTAAGAAAACTCCAGCCCTGTGCATGGAGGCGCTTCACAGTTTAAATAGCTTCTGCGTGTACTGCTCTGCTCGCCCTTTTCTGGACGCGTGGCTGTACTGCCCTCTCTATTCATTACACGTGTATGTGTCAATACTGTCAAACAACCTTTGGCCAAAACAGCCAAACGGTATTGACACGCACTACTGGCAGGTTTTCCTCCTCGCACTTCGATTGGACCACGTAGCGGCTCCTGTCGTGCTACCTATTACTCGGCACAAGGCCATTTACCAACTTCCATCAATCTGCTCGGCTTTGAGTCATCCGACCGGTCAATTGCGGCTCGGCCAAATGTTGCTCGGTTCATACAGTGGACGGTGTCATTAGCCCGGACTATACTCAGGTCGGCTTATTTCACATGTAGTCCGGTCCTTTGTTCGGTGTAAATTTCCCTTAATTGTACACATAGCTCGTCCCACACTTCTTGACAGAGCACTTAGATAGCTCGGCCATTCTGCTCATTGGATTTTCGTCTCTCATTTGCCCCTTAATTCCATCGGTTGTAACTTGATTGGGATTACTTCATTCTTGCGTAACTTCACTTCAGCTCGGTTTGTCGTTAAGCTTCATGATGGTTTGGTCAAGTTTTATCACTTGCTTCCAGCGCTTGCATTGCACGGCTATACAAATCTTCAATTTTCTCAAAATGTTTTTCAACCTTCGTGTCAACCACTTACAGTGCACAGCGTGACCCAACATATGGCGCTCCAATGAGACAATTTGCTTCATTTTTGCATTTGGTGGAATGGGTGAGGGGCCCAAGCCTTCTCTTTTCCAAAGCCAAACAAATTTTGTAATGAAAATGCTTGCTTGGTCCCATTTAGAAATCTTGCTCGTGCATGAATTCAACAACAAACATGTTAATTAATATGTTTGTGCTTGGAGGGTCCCACCATGAAGCTTTGGAAACAATCTAATGCTTTGATGTAGAATTCCATTGGTGACCGAGCTTGTGCTGTGTTCTCAATAAATTGAATTAAAAAAAAAAAAAATCTCCACTACCGAGCTATAATTTTGCATCAACTCATAATTCCTCAATTTTGAGACCAAGCTAGGAACTATGCACATAGTCGAGTTATAATTGCGCCGTGCTTTCCACCGAGCTATTGAACTTGGTCCCACTATGAAGCTTTGTACAATTTTATTTTATTTATTTTTTCCAATTGGAAATTTAGTCAGTACTGTTACCTCCTATGAAGCTCGGTCTTCCACGTAGCTCGATCACTCTGTTTCCACAAGCAACTTCGGCTTTTGTTCACTTTTTTTTGTTAATGTTGATGACGTTGCTCGGTCATGCTTGTATGGTTGTGGGACCAAGCAACTCTTGTCTTCTCTGGGCCCCATTGATTTATATCCTGCCGTTTTGCACATTCTCTTGCTCGGTCATTATATGCGTAGCTCACATATGATTTATTCACGTGCAATTTTCTGCCAAACAAACATGTGGGCCTTTTGGGCAAGACTTTGTAGCTGTTCTTTAATTCTTAGATCGGGCTAGGAATATTGTCCTCTGCCCAAAACCGAGCCAAAGTCCTTACATGGCTCTATTACTGAGCAAAAATGTGCATTTAACTCCATGACCGAGCTAGGAACACTGCCCCTTAGCTCATAACCGAGCAACCATCAATTAGCTTTTTACTTGTCCTACAACCGGGCTGCTTTCAAATACTATTAATTTTATAGAATGCCACGTCAACAACAAAGATGGAGGGAAATGATCCTAATGATTGAATACATTTTGCCTAGCGTTGAAGGCTAGCTACATGTAGCTAGTGAATATGAGTTGAGGCAAAATGCCTAATCATATGCCTAGTGCATTGGAATTGAAAAAAGTGAATCACACTAGGCATTTTAACTAACAAGTATTATATGCCTAGTGCATTGGAGATGCTCTTACATGGCTCTATTACTGAGCAAAAATGTGCATTTAACTCCATGACCGAGCTAGGAACACTGCCCCTTAGCTCATAACCGAGCAACCATCAATTAGCTTTTTACTTGTCCTACAACCGGGCTACTTTCTTTCGGGTCAAGACTTGACACGATCGCACTTGCTCTATAACCGAGCTATTAGCTTAGTTTTTGTTTTGAAAACCAGATACACAACTTTTCTTTCTATACCGAGCTAATGGCCTCTTAGGCAACAACACTTGTTTTGATTTTTGAATGGAATTCCTTTAGCTTGGCGGTAATGCTAGGAATATTCCTTTTGCTTCAAAATTGAGCTAAAGTCTTTCCATAGCTTTACAACCGAGTAAAAATGCTTTTAAATAAGCTGTCTACCCTATGACTGGGCTAAATTCGAGCTAACATGCAATTCCACTAAGCCTAACCAAACAAAAAATCTCATCACGGCTTCATAACCGAGCTAAGAACGCTGCCTCTGGCTCATGACCGAGCTACCTTCTAGGCCATCAAATGGCAAGAAGAACCGAGTAAAGTGAGTATAACTCAAAGAGCCTTACAAACCGCGCTAAGACTTGAACATAATGCACTTTACTTTTTCAGCGTGCAAACTGGACTAGGATTTGGCCAGACACATCAAAATTAGCATTTGTTGGCGTTCTACAACTGAGTGACTGGGCTATTCCTTCAGCAAATTTTTTAACCGAGCTCTATGGGCAAATTCCGCTTAAGAGTGAGCTCATTAGGAGCAATTGTTGATTTTTGTGAGGGATTTGCAATCACTTGCGACGTTCACCTTGAACTAGCCAAGGAGGGGATAGAGCTTTGGGGCCAACTTGATTCGTGTAAATCACCAACTCTCTCTCTTGCTGAGCTGAATCTGCTTTAGGCAAGGAATACACCTAGTTAGGCATATCACCAACTCCCCTTCTTGCCGAGCTGAATCTTCTTTAGGCAAGGAATTCATGTAGTTTGACCAATCACCAACTCCCCCTCTTGCTGAGCTTACTCTTACTTCAGCAAGGAATTCCAAAGTTTGACAACAAACCTCTTGTCAAACAGAACCCACATCTGTAAGGAATTCCAAAGTTTATCAAAACCATCAACAAACTTCTTGCCGAGCAAAATCTGCCCAGCAAATAATTCCAAAGTTGATCAAAACCATCAACAAACCTCTTGCCGAGTAAGATCCGCCCGACAAAAAATTCCAAAGTTGATTAAAACCATTAACAAACCTCTTGCCAAGAAAAATCCACCCATCAAGGAATTCCAAAGTTAATCAAAACCATCAACAAACCTCTTGCAGAGTAAGATCCGCCCGGCAAGGAATTCTAAAGTTAATCAAAACCATTAACAAACCTCTTGCCAAGCAAAATCCGCCTGACAAGGAATTCCAAAGTTGATCAAAACCATCAACAAACCTCTTACCGAGCAAAATTCGTCCGACAAGGAATTCTAAAGTTGAACAAAACACCAACTTTTATCTTGGCGAGCAAAATCAGTTTGGTAAGGAATTCCAATCCATCAAGATGATCGTCAGTTAACTCTTGGACCGCGCTAAATTTGCTTGGCAAGGCAAAAATACAACAATTTTTAAGAAAATAGTCTACTTGTTTCATTGCACTAATGGCAAAAAGAGTTACAAAAATAGAACTAAGAACACAACTTTAGATTGACAGAGTTTGATATTCTGGAAATGGATCGACCATTTATATTCTGCGAGTTTTATGCCCCTTTTCCTTGACCTTACAGATGTCTTCCAAAACTGAACTCCCTAGATCTCTTCTATGGTGGTTTGCATGGCCATCATCTTATCCGACTGCGTGAATCTTTCCCACTACTCTCTTGTCCTCTACTACCAGACTTGCTGTCACGGTAGCTACGGTTACATCGTCTTTGACTCGGATGTGCTCATTAATGTGTTGCATGAGTAATTCCATGGTTGATGGTTGATTCATTATGAGCGAGTCTCTCAGTCGATGTCTAACTGGAAGACCGTGCTTATACTAAGTGATTGCAAGGTTGGTCGGACAATCAAGAATCTCATTGAAAGTGTCCTAATACTTAGCGTTATACGCCTTCAAGGAGTCGCCCGACTCTATCTTTACTCCCAAGAGATGGTCAACTTCCTTGGGTGTTTTGGCATTTGTCTTAAATCTGGTGACAATTGCCTCTGCCAACTGTTGCCACCCCTCAATGCTCTCCTTCGACAGCCTCTCGAACCATTTTAGGCCCAACTCGCCCAAACTCGATGGAAAAACACGGCACATGAGCGCATCATTTTTCTTGTGCCCAGCCAGAACCTGCTGGAAGTGGCTTACGTGTATGAACAGATCAGTCTTTTTGTCATAGAGCGTGAACTTTAGCTGATGGAACTCGGGGGAGAGCGGTGTGTTCTTCATCTCTACAGATTTCATTGGAAAAAATGGTGGCGCTCAGCCTTGCCAACTCTTTCTATGGTGGGACGTGTGCCGCCAAGCGTGTTGGTGGCATGGTGACCTCTTCACTAGCTCGCCCTCTAGGGGCCAGCTGCTGTAATGTGGGCACCCTCTGTGCTTTTTGCCAGCGTGCGCGCTCCTCCAACACATCCCTCAGGTCTTTCAATTGGTCGGAGCGTGAATATCTCGACACCATCTTCAGATGTGAGGGGTGGTAACTACTGTCCTGCATACGAAATGTCACCACCGGTGCACGTAGTCTCCAGCTCTGAAGCTTCTCATAACGGAGAGTGAAGGGGTACGACGTCTATTCTAATTACCGGAACAACG